TTTCCTTGATCAGTCCTGAGGCTGAACGCTCAGTGGGTGAAATGAAGGCTAGCGTCTGATGAGGCTTGATGTAGGAAGAAAAATCCCTTTTTTCAGCTTTAAGGGAACATGTTCACCATGCAGAGGGAGGCGGAAAGAAGCAGAGCTTTTAAGTACATAAATTAGCCGTCTGCTCTGAGTCAGTTCCTCTGAGGAAGGGGACTGAAAACACCGTCTGAATGCGAAAGGCGGGGCGAGAAACAAACTGTCAGGATGCAGCGGTGATCCGTCATCCAGCTGCTTTTGCTCCACTCAATCGGCAATCAGATCAATTGAAGAAAAGCAGCAGATCTCATGTAGAGATTGAATTTAGCTCAGTGATGTTCGTGGAAGCTGTGGGTGTCAGATTGTTCAAAATTACATTTCCTGTGAACTCATGATGCAAAATGCAGAAAGATTTTCACCGATTACTAAACATGGCGAGGTCCCCCTTTACAGGAAGTCTTCTGTTCTCCTGTAAAGGGGTTGGGATGATAGCTCCCTTACTTCTTACCAGATCTCTTCCCACTATCATCGCAGCCCCAACCCATTTACAGGAGAACAGAAGAACTCGCATGTTCAGCCAGACCAACTATTCCCTTTAACGACCCCCCTTTCAGAGAGATAGACAGGTATGGGGCATTACAGGCTAACAAAGAAGCCAAACGACCCCCATTCCAAAGGGATGGACTCGTTTGTCCTTTTCTATTTGCATGTTTTCTAAACTAAAACCAGGCTTTGTTGGGCTGCTGGATAAAACCTGGAACTCAACGCTATTTCTGACATTTTAATTGAAAAAGCTTCCTGGATGGAAGAGAAACGTCTTCAAACTTGGAAACAAAGTCCAGAGGATTGTCTCACTTTCCTCCTCAATTCAAGAAAGAAATTCACTTATTCTCAGAAAAAATGACTTACAGTACATGATTTACATTTTTTGCAGTGTGACTTGTATAACTCTAAGCAAAATCTCTGGTCTGAGTAAGATTAAAATTTTTGTCCAAATCTGTTGTCATGTTTCCTGGTTATTTAATGCATTATGAAGTGTTATTTAAAGAGTTTGTATTGAGCGATCTATGCACTGCAAAAAATATAAATCTAGATAAGTCCTTTTTCTTAAAATAAGTGTCATGATCTGGCCTGCTTGCTCTCACTAATTAGTAATTCCTTTCACCTGTCGTTTTCCCCTCCCTGCCTCAATTACAATTTATTCCTCTCACCTGTTTCCTCTGGTTTATATTCAGTTCAGCCTGAGCATTCAGTGCCAGATCATTGCTTGTCTTTCTGCCAGTCTTTCTGTTCTGTTTTATTTGGTTCCTGTCCTGGATCCTAGCAGCCAGTGGAAAGAGGGTTTTAGTGTTTGTCTCGTCTCCTGATCGTCCACTGTTCCTCCCCCGCGGAGTCCTCTGGGTTTTTGGCTCATTATGTGGGGAGGTTCAGTTTTTATCCAGTAAGCCTGGCTCCTGGGTGGAGACCAGTTTAAAGTCCTGCTTCAAGTTCCGGTTCCTACGTCCTGTCTCGGCTACCCTCTTCCACTGAGCCTGCCTGTCTGCACCTGATCCTGTCTGCTCCTGTGCGTGACCACCTGGTCATGCTTCTGGTCCCAGTCAGACTTTGAACCCTCCAGGGAGCCTGTGGATGCCTGGAAGTCTGGATCCTGCCACCTGTCTCTGTTCCTGCCTGATCTGGATCCTGCCTGTTCCTGTCTGTTCCTGTCTGTTCTGGATCCCTCACCAGGATCAGCTTCCAGCATCACCTCTGGGACTGCAGCACTTGGACACTCGTGGTCTGGACTGTTAAACCAGGTAAGTGACCAACCCAGATAATCATACATCAGTTTATCGTGGTCACTTACCTGTGTTTGAGAGTGTCTGAGATTGGGCGGTTTGAACTTTCCTACTGACTGTCTCTCCTGAATACTGGGTCCATCTGTCCCCGATTCATGACAATAAGTGCATTTGTTCTTGAATTGAGGAGGTAAAAGAGACATTTTGCCAATGGAACAAGACAATTTACACTTAAAATAAGGAAACACAATTGCATTGTTTCATTTTAAGTGCATATTATCTAATTATCTTATTTTAAGTGTAAAAATACTCATTCCATTGGCAAACTATCTCATTTACCTACTCAAATTAAGGGTGAATACACTTAATTTAAGAAAGGTTTACTTATATCTAGATTGTTTTTGGAGTTTGAGGAAAAGAACCGGAGAGTGAAAGTTTCAGCACTGCAAAAAAAAAAACCCTGAAATCTAGATAAGTCATTTTTTCTTTAAATAAGTGAATTTTTGCTTGAATTGAGGAGGTGAGACAATTTGCCAATGGAACAAGACAGTTTACATGTATAATTAAAAAAACAACAACTGCATGTTATCTAGTTATCTTAAGAGTAAAACACCTGAATCCATGAGCAAATTGTCATATTTACTTAGTAAAATTAAGGCTAAATACACTTAAATCAAAAAATATTTACTTATTTCTAGATCGTTTTTGCAGTGAGGTTCGAAACACAGAGCTGTGATTCCTACACGGCCGTATGGCAAGATGTAAATGCACTTTTTATGGCTGCTTTTAGCCAACGTCGTCTTCTTACGGCTCCTCTTTATGTGTGGAGTTTGTCCTGTCAAAGAATCTGCTCTAATTTCCTCATTGTCAGTTTCAGTGAGTCTGGCTCATTTTTTTGGATTGGTTGATTGAACATATTTCCCTCTGAACGTCTGCTGTTTTATCTGGTCTTCATGATGCTCTTTACTCAATAATGTTCTCTAACAAACTACTGGCAGAACAGCTTGATTTACACCAAGATTAACCCACACACTCAGTGGATTACTAAGGTACCTTACAAATCTGTTAGTTTCATTTGAAGGTATCAGAATAAATAATAAAACACTTTTCAGATTATTACTCAAAAAAACCCATAAACTACTTAAAGTCTGTCGTTTGCATAAAGTCACAACAAACTAAGGTGGCCTGTATAGCTCAAATACACCAAAACATAAAACATTAAGAGGAATAGGAATACTTTTCGATTGAACTGTATGATTCTATACACAAATGCAAAAAAAAAACAGGAAATGTGTTTTTTTTATTATTATTTTTTTGTGCATAATCCTGTCATTTTATGTAATGTAAATAGAAATGTAAATATAAATAAGTAATTTATTTTCTAAATACACTGGAAAAAATCAAAATCTAGATAAATCATTTTTTTCTTAAAATAAGTGTATTTGTTCTTGGATTGAGGAGGTAAAAGAGACATTTTGCCAATGGAACAAGACAATTTACACTTAAAATAAGAAAACAAAACTGCATTGTCTTATTTCAAGTGCATTTTGTCAAATTATCTTATTTAAAGAGTAAAAAAACTCATTGCATTGGCAAATCATTCCATTTACGTACTCAAAATAAGGGTAAATACACTTAATTTAAGAAATTTCTACTTATTTCTAGATAGTTTTTCCAATGTACCCTTAATTTGAGTAGGTAAATTAGATAGTTTGTCAATGGAAGGAGTATTTTTACTCTTAAAACAATATAATTAGATAAAATGCACTTGGAATAAGACAATGCGACAGTGTTTTCTTATTTTAAGTGTAAATTGTCTTGTTCCATTGGCAAAATGTCTCTTTTATGTCTTCAATCCAAGAACAAATGCACTGATTTTAATCAAATATGACTTATCTAGATATCAATTTTTTCCAGTTTAAGTACGCTTATTTAGGAAATTTTAACAAATCGTTTTTTCCAGTGTACACTGGAAAAAATAAAAATCTAGACGAGACATTTTTTTCTTAAAATAAGTGCATTTGCCCTTGGATTAAGGTAGTAAAAGAGACATCTTGCCAATGGAACAAGACAATTTACAATTAAAATAAGAAAACAAAAATCTAGATATCAATTTTTTCCAGTGTATGGAACACATAGAAGTTTCACACAGCAAAAATTATATTGAAATAAGTCAACATTTCTTAAATTAAGTGTATTTACCTTTAATTTGAGTAGATAAATAAAATGATTTGCCAATGGAGTAAGTGTTTCTACTATTAAAGTAAGATAATTAGATAATATGCACTTAAAAACAAGACAAGGCAATTGTTCTCTCATTTTAAACATAAACGCTGCACTGCAAAAATGATGTAGAAATAAGAAAAAATGTCTTAAATTAAGTGTATTTACCCTTGATTTGAATAGGTAAATTTGATAATTTGCGAATGGAATTAGTATTTTTACCCTTAAAATAAGATAATTAGATAATATGCACTTTGAATAAGACAATGCAATTGTGTTTTCTTATTTTAAATCTAAATTGTCTAGTTCCATTGACAAAATATATCTTTAATCTCCTCAATTTAAGAAGAAATGCTCTTATTTTAAGAAAAAATTACTTATCTAGATTTGGATTTTTTCCAGTGTGTTGTTCCATTGGTAAAGTTTCACTCTTAACTCCTCAAGTCAAGAAAAATGCTCTTATTTTAAGAAAAAAATATTAATTGAAAAAAAAAAACTTATTGAGATTTCAATTTTTTCCAGTGTACAGTTAGTAAAAAGCTAATAACAGAAGTTTGTAAAGAGTGACAAAAAAAAAAAAAAACAGAGATAATCACAAATTCTAAAACTCTCATTTTATTTTGTTAAAATGCTCTAGAAAATAACGGATAAAAGATTTGATCGACCAGTTTTTAAAAAAAATAGTTTGTGGAATGAGTCAAATTAACAAAATACTGTATTTTTTTTTTGTGTTGCCCTGAAAAATGCAGACCCCTGTGTATTCTTTATAATTTCATTACTTAGTCCTGATTTTATTATTCCTTAAAGGTAATTACTAAAGCAGAAATATGATATGTTGCAGAAAGGAGGGCAAGAGGTGAAAGAAAACTGTGATTTCTTTTGGTAAGTGTGATGATGCAGAGCATCATCCTGCAGGGGAAGGAAAGCTGTCATTACCCGAAACAAAGAAACAGCTGAAAAAAAGGAGCGACTTACCGCACAGCTGTCCCTCAATGCATCATACTTGCGTTGTATCTCATCCCTGTGCGCCTGCAGACATGGCAAGAGAGACGGGGAGGCATCACTGCCAAGCCGACATCACACCAAAGAGTGCAAATGATGCTTCTTTACTTCCCCTCATCCTTACTCTGAGAACAGTGATCTCCTCCTCGGCCTCGGCTGTGGTCTCCTCCAGCTCAGTCTTGGCCTGTTGGAGTTGGCTCTCCAGCGCATGGCGAGCCGTCTGAAGGCTGCTGATCTGAGATTCACGCTCTTGCAGGGACAGGGTTAACTCTGTCACCTGACGCTTTATTTCCAGTTTCTGCTCCTCATTCTCCAGTCCGATCTACACAGGAAGAAAGGTAGAGAAACTGTCTAAAAAATTCATTCAGCAGCATCATTTCACTGCCATAAATGTTTCAAATATAACTGAAAGCTTAGAGAGGCTCCAAAGATCTGCTGGGGACTGGAATTAGCACATCTATGACTAACGGCTCATAGCAGACATAAAAATTCAATCTTTTTTACAGTCGCCAATGGGTGCAAACATGATGCAAATGCATAAATTCACATCTAATTCAAAAAGTCCTTGAGATGACACTAAAAAAAAAAAACACTAAAATGAGACTAACTCAAAAAAACCACAGAAAATAAAGCGCAGTGAAGTGGAAACAAAAAACAAATATAAAACCTGCTGCAAATACATAAATGCTCCTAAACAAACACACAAAAACAGAGGCGTCAAGTAACAAAGTAAAAATACTTTGTTACTTTGCTTAAGTAGAAATTTTGTCTACACTGGAAAACATCCAAATCTAGATAAGTCCTTTTTTCTTAAAATAAGTGCATTTGTTCTTAGATTGAGGAGATAAAAGAGACATATTGCCAATGGAACAAGACAATTTAGGTTTAAAATAAGAAAACACAATTACATTGTCTTATTTCAAGTGCATATTATCTAATGATCTTATTTTAAGAGGAAAAATACTCATTCCATTGGCAAATTATCTCATTTACCACTCAAATCAATCACTTAATTTGAGAAAATGTTACTTATTTCTAGATCGTTTTTGCAGTGTATCTATACTTTACTGGAGTAATTATTTTTGTGACAACTTTTTATTTCTGCTCCTTACATTTTAAAAATAGACTAACTGGAGCCTAGGCGGAAATTCAACTGAAGAAACTGATTGCTCCCCTACATCCACCTACGACCACGACAGCTCGTCCGCAACTCGTCTGCTCCCGTGCGCAGGGGATGGATGCGCTGTGTAACTTCATTCAGATGACCCCGATTCAACCCCCCTCCAGCCCCTCCTCCACCATCGTAGCTAAAGCTTCATCAGAGCGTCATTCACTCCAGACTCTTACTGCATTCCCTGTCCCATCTAAAACAGTCTGGCAGAAGACCGCCATGTTGAACCTGGTTCTGCAGAGGTTTTCCTATGTTTTTCCTCTCCACTGTCGCTTCATGCTTGCTCATCATGGACAGGTTCATGCAACCTGTGTTATCCAAAACTATCCAGGTCCCTGAGTAAAGTTCTAGTATCAGCTCATGCAGTCCGCTGGATCTCCCTATAAAGCTCAGCAAACCGTCTCTCCAACCATCAGTCTACAGACTGACCAACTCCATCTATCTCCACTCTTTCAGGCCTGGGGGGGAAACAGCCCTATTCTTTAATCCTGTTCACGCATAACAAACAACATTCAGTGCTATATTTTCTGTCAAGGTCTGAGCGCCAAAGACTAAAGTAATTATATCAATACATTTCTTCTAATTGTCTTTTATCTTCCTGTCAGTTTTTAAGATTGATTAGTTTTTTTCATTTAAGCTAATTTTCCTTATGGCCTGTTGGTATTTAAAAAATAAAAACCATCAAAATAATTAGTTTCATCCAGACAATTAATTTCTTTGTGGTTGGAGCTGGTTGGTGCTGCCCCAACTTGTTGCTCACCACAAACCAAAATAAACAGTTTTTCAAGATGATGCAAAGTTAAATTTAACACTGTTACCATTAGTTATAAAACCAAGAAAATGAAGTCTAAGGAAGTTATCATCCAGAATTGTAGAAAAATGTTCCTTTAATAGGGTAGAGCAGGAAAGCTTCTGTCCTTAACATTTTTTCCTGCATTATTTTTACTTTTATACTTTATGTAGTTTTAAAAAAGGTATTTTTAAACTTTTACTTGAGTAAAAAGCTTAAGTTGATCGTCTAATTTCGACAAAGGTGTTTTTAAACAGTAGAATTTATACTGGAGTAATAAACATGAATTCTTTGACAGCTCTTTACAAAACATGGGAAAAGGAAAAATGCTGATAGCAAAAAAACTTAAATCATCGACACATCACAGACCTACTAAGGAGCGTTAGGGCCATGCTAGAGATTTTTTAATTTTTTTATTTTGAGAATAAAGTCGTAACACGAGAATAAAGTTGTAATATTATGAGAATGAAGTCATCATACAGCAACCCGTTTCAGGGAGAAAGTTTGGAGCTCCGACCATCAGATGACGGCCGACCAGCTCCACCAATCAGCAACCAGAGTCCACTTTGACCTCCTGCCCAGTTTGCTGCTGCTGCTAAAAGATTTACTTATTTGTCAAACCGATGCTAAAGTATAACTTCACACGATGCTCCACATTCCTCCTTTTAGGGAACAAAGTGCTTCTTGTAGGAGTTGTCATAGAATACAACTTGTTTCTCATAATTTTACGGCTTTATTCTCATAATTTTATGGCTTTATTCTCGTAATAATTTTACGACTTTATTCTCCTAATTTTATGACTATTCTCATAATTTTGCGACTTTATTCTTGTATATTTACGACTTTGTTCTCATAATTTTATGACTTTATTCTCGTAATTTTATGACTATTTTCACAATTTTACGACTTCATTCTCGTATAATTACGACTTTGTTCTTATAATTTTACAACTTTATTCTCATCATTTTACGACTTTATTCTCGTAATATTACGACTTTATTCTCTTAAACTTACAACTTTATTCTCGTAGTTTTATGACTATTCTCATAATTTTATGAGTTTATTCTCGAATATTTACGACTTTGTTCTTATAATTTTATGACTTCATTCTCATAATTTTATGACTTTATTCTCGTAATTTTATGACTATTTTCACAATTTTACGACTTTATTCTCGTATAATTACGACTTTGTTCTTATAATTTTACGACTTTATTCTCATCATTTTACGACTTTATTCTCGTAATTTTACGACTTTATTCTCTTAAACTTACAACTTTATTCTCGTAGTTTTATGAGTTTATTCTCGAATATTTACGACTTTGTTCTTATAATTTTATGACTTTATTCCCGTAATAATGTTAGGACTTTTTTCCCGTAATTTTACGACTGTATTATCATAATGTTGCAACTTCTTTCTCGTGCGACTTCAAAAATCTCTAGCCTGGCCCTAATACTCTGTCGTACAGACCGAATCTGATCTGAAACAAATATATACTGTATATGTCCGTCCCAAAGACATTTAGAGAGAGGAAAGAAAAAGGAGGTTTGTTTGAACATTAATGACTGACTCCCCCTAGTGGTCTGGAGCACTAACGTTCTGCAGAACTATGGTAGTTACCCAGCTTTTTTCTCTTTTGCAGCAGCTTTTGCTACTTCAAGCATTTTTCCTTTTCATGTGCTTCATGTTTTAAGTGTTTGCAGCACATTTGCACTCTTCTGCTCTGTATTTTCTGTGATTGCAGAATTTTCTAGAACTTTGTTTTGTTTAGAGCTGCCTCTGTCTGTTGAAGTTAAACTGTTAGCTGAGGTATTATTGAATAGTTTGTGGTCCAGTTGTTTTATCCGTTTTACATGTTTGTTTTGTTTTTTATTTGCTTTTTTTCTTCAATTTTATTACCCAATTCATGTAAAGTACTTTAGATTGTCTGTGTACTGGATGGTGATATACAAATAAACTTGCCTTGCCTTTTTCGTGGCAGCAGAATCCATGCATTTGCAGTACTTTTACTTTTAACAGTTTTAAACACACCATCACTAAACATCAACACACTGCGCTAACAACACTGTGATTCAGACGTTAATACAGAAAGAATCCTCAAAGTTGGTTATTTTAGTATCAGCAAGGCACTTTAAAATTTCATTCTGAGGAAGCACAGAAGGTGAAACAGTGTTTGGGTTTTCTACAAAGACATGCCGGGTCTACATAGAAGCTGCTAATGGAGGTTAGACTGAAACTGATGATAGGAAGTTTAAACAGCTTGGCAGGTTGTTTTAATTCAATTAATTTCAATTCAGTTTATTTCTATAGCTTATATTATTATATAACTATGCTGTATGTGAATGTTAGATAATAAAGACTTTTGTCCATAGATTTTGCGATTTTTTTTTGAGGTGATAAATAATTGAAAAGGTCAGATTTATTCTCTAGCTGATATAAATAATTAATGATCAAGAGTCGGCTCTGAAAGAACTCTTCACATGGCCTCACACAGTCCGGAAAACTGGGAGTGGAAATCTCATTCATTATTTTTTGCCTATTGAGTTTATTTTCTTATTTTTCTGTCAAACATACCAGCTCATTCTCATAAATTTAGAGCCAGCTGTTCAGCAGATGCTTCATGGCATCTAGTCTGAACCCATCAGATAGATAAGTTGGAGATACCCTGAAATGCCACATCCTCCGCCCCCTCCCTGCTCGCCCCGTTCCACCCCGCCCCACTCCGCCCCACTGAGCTAAGTTAAGCCTACAGCCTCCGCTTTTCCTCCTGTCTTGCTCCACTTCGACTTCCTCGGAGCTTGAGGAGAGCATGCGCTATATTGTTATTAAATTCATAGGGGCAAAAGATGCAGAAATTAATGCTTTATTTAATATGAAATATTTTTAAAAAAATCCACATCTGCATCTAGCAGGTGTTCAGTTTCTGCCCAAATGTGTTCTCTGTGTTATGGATTTTTGTAACAGGGATAATAGGATGATACAAATTTGTTTTTTATGAAGTATCTTTGTTCTCTACACTGGAAAAACAATCTAAACATAAGTAAAAACTTCTTCAATTAAGTGTATTTACCCTTAATTTGAGTAGGTAAATGAGATAGTTTGACGATGGGAAGGGTATTTTTAGTCTTAAAATAATATAATTAGATAATACGCACTTGAAATAAGACAATGCAATTGTATCAACATATTCTCATTATCAGTTCGTATGAAATCCTACGAAAAGTTAGGCACAGTATTTTGTACGTTTTGGACGTTTTTCCTCAAAAAAACAGATCAGTGCGCATGCGCAGCCAGACAGACGAAAAAAGCAGATCCGCGGACGGACGTAAAACTGGGAAAAACAGTGCAATAATTACTTCTTCATGTCTCTCACTAGGTTGCTTGCTGTTTTGTATCTTAGGGTCAGGGTTAGGGTTAATTGTATTTTAAATTCTATGTTACTGAATGGTGCGTAACATGCGCATGCGCAAGGATATCTTGTCTCGAGGCAAGACGTAAAAATACAACGAAATACCACGAAAAAAACGTCCAAAACGTACAAAATTACGGTGCATAACTTTTCGTACGATTTCGTACGAACTGATAATGAGAATACACTGATTGTATTTTATCATTTTAAGTGTAAATTGTCTTGTTCCATTGGCAAGATGTGTATTTTACCGCCTCGATCCGAGAACAAATGCACTTATTTTAAGAAAAAATTACTTGTAGATTTCAATTTTTTTCCCAGTTTACTTACAAACTCAGCATCTCTTCATCCATCCCTGCAATAAGAAGTTTATTTTGACTGGATTTGATGAAACTTTGAAGCCTCTCAATTTAAAATAAATATTTTGATGGAGATGAGAAATCTTCTTCCTGGTATGTTTCACAATTGTTTGCATGCAATAATTAAATTAAATGGTCTTAGTTTTTGGGAAATATAAGAATTATGCTATCATTTGTAGTTACCGATCTGTTGTTTCCATATTCTAATTTTATAAATCAGATCTTCTCAACTTCCTATTTTCAGTTTGGTGCGGTTGCAATTAGGGATCTTGACCTGGCCGGACTGGAGAGGAGCAAAAAAATAACTCAGCTCCGTATTTTGGCTGTGCACTGCAAAAAATGTTACTCTAAGTAAGTCAAATTTTCTTAAAATGTCTTGAATTAAGCAGGTAAATGCGACTCTTTCTTATTTCAATTTATATTTGAAATAAGAAAAAACAACTGCTTTTTCTTATTTCAACTCTATAATATGTAATTATCTTCTATTAAGAGTCAAAATTCTCTTTCTGTTGGCATATTATCTTATTTACCTGCTCAAATTTAGGTTGAATATGTTTATTTTAAGAAATTTCTACCTCTTTTTAGAAAGGTTATGCAGTGTAAAGGATGGAGAAGACATACTGGAAAAAATCTAAATCTACATAAGATTTTTTTCTTAAAATAAGTGCATTTGTTCTTGTATTGAGGAGGAAAGTAAGAGACTTTGCCAATGGTACAAGACAATTTACATTTAAAACAAGAAAACACAATTACAATGTCTTATTTGAAGTGCATACTTTCTATCTATCTTATTTTAAGAGTAAAAATACTCATTCCATTGGCAAATTATCTACCTACTCAAAACAACGGTAGTTACACTTAATTTAAGAAATGCTTGACTTATTTCTAGATCGTTTTTGCAGTGCATACGTGGACCGTGATGTGTGGAAGAGTACACTGTAAAAACGATCAAGAAATAAGAAAATATTTATTAAATAAAGTGTAATTTCCCTCAATTTGAATTGGTAGATAAGATGATCTGTCAATGGAATCAGTATATTTACTCTTGAAATAAGATAATTAGATATTATACACTTGAAATCAGACAATGCAATTGCTTTTTCTCCTTCACTGCAAAAACGATCTAGAAATATAAGTAAACAGTGTATTTCCCCTCAATTTGAGCAGGTAAATACGATTATTTGCCAATAGAATGAGTAGTTTTGTTATTAAAATAAGATATTTAGATAATATGCACTTGAAATAAGACATTGTAATTGTTTTTTTCCTATTTTAAATGTAAATTGTCTTGTTCTACTGGCAAAGTGTCTTACGTACCACCTAAATTCAAGAAAAAATGCACTTATTTTTAGAAAGAAATTACTTATTGTGTTTTAGATGTAAATTGTCTTCTTCCATTGGCTAAAGGCTCTCAACAACCTCCTAAATTAAAAAAAAATGCATTTATTCTAAGAAAAAAGTGACTTATTTTACTATCATTTTCTTGCAGTGTAGCAGTGGATGTGGAACAGTTCTCATTGATCGAAATGACAGACGAGTACTACGCAGGATGTAGTTGAGCAGGGTGGAATGGAGCGCTAACAGAGGACGAGGAATCTGGGTGTTAATCGGATATTAGTGGTGAAATAAGACACACTGGAAAAATCGAAATCTAGATAATTAATTTTTTCTTAAAATAAGTGCATTTTTTCTTGGATTGAGAAGGTAAAAGACACATTTTGCCAATGGATCAAAACAATTTACACTTAAAATAATATGCATATTATCTAATTATCTTATTTTACGAGTAAAAACCCTCTTTCCTTGGCAAATCATCCCATTTACCTACTGAAATTAAGCAGCCATACCCTTAATTTAGGAAATATTGACTTATTTCTTGATCATTTTTGAAGCTCTGAAGATTTTAGAAGCAGATCCTCATTATTAGAGACTGAATTTTAAAGTTTTAAAATATTCTAAAAAATACTCCATGGGCCGGATCTATCAAAGGTTTGCGTGTATAAAAACGTGAGCTATTTCACTGCGCACTTTAACTTTAATCATCCTGCTATTTAAACTTAGAATCACAGCTGAGATGATGTAAAAGAGAAAGAAAGAAAGAAAGAAACAGAGAGGAGGTTGATATCATGAGAGAAAAAAAGCCTGCTGAATAAAACAGCTTCACATTTAACTCCCCCTAAATTTCTTCTCACCTCACGGAGCCGAGTTTCCAGCTCCAGCACACGGCTCTTGTTGCTCTGCTCCTGCTGACTCATTTTCTCGAGATGCTCCTCCAGCTTGGCGTTCTGGGCCTCCAGCTTTCCAGCCTGAGACTCCAGGTAAAACTTCTGCTGGCGAAGCTCCGAGATCATCTCTTCCTGGGCTTTCCTGATAAGATCGTACAAAGATCGCTTTCAAAGAAGGCCTTATATTACAGTAAAGAAATCTAAGTAGCTTATCTAATAGTGAAAACGGGTTAAGGCGTGTTTTTATTAATATACTCACATGTTTTTCTGGGTATAGATGCTGCTGTTAGCTGCCAGTTTATTGGCCTCTGACAGCTCAGCAATCCTCTGCTCCAGGCTGTTCATCTTTGAGTCCATTGCATTGATAGTCTGAACACAGACAAACATTCTAAGTTCTACAGAAGTTGCATTTGACTCCATTTGGATTGAGGCTCATTTTTAGACTTTTTTTTGTTGTTTTCCAAATGTGAAATCTGTGACAGTATGATCAATGTTAAAATAATCCTGAGAATAGAGTGGATGCCAGGCCGGTCGCTGCTTACCGCCTTCTGTTCACTGATGATGCTGCACTTCTCCCGCACCTCCTCCTCATATTTGCTCTGACTGGACTCCAGCATCTCCTTATCGGCCATGTCCGCCTTCATCTGAGCCTCCAGCACCTGTTCAATGCCAGCCAGCCCACAGAACCACAACCAGGATGTCACTTAACGGGACAGAGAGCGGTGTGAACATGACATAGTGCAGATTGTCCAGGCACAAAGCAAACCCACAGCTGGCCGGGCCAAAGCAGGCAGCAGTGAGGGGCTTACCTACTGTCACCAGGGCTGAATTTGAACTGGTAACAGCCCTTTATTGGGCACTCAGTGAAATACTTTGAAAATCAAAATTTCAAGCCAATAGTTTTATTGGATTCCAGGACCAGACCTTATTACCTTTGTAACATTTGAAAAATATGGATAATTTGATGGTAAAAATGAATGAATGTCAATGTAATAACAAGAAACGCCAACTTGCCCGAATATATTAAGAATAATAACAAAAGTGCTTCTATAATTTTTTGAATTTTTACGGAATGCTTCTATAAGAAATTCATAAAAAACACTCAGAGTGAAAGAAAAACATTTTTTTTTTTTTTTTGTCCAACATAACCTTATAGGCATTAATGCTGATACTGGCACTTACATTATTTAGTTTATAAACCTAAACATAATTGTTAACTAGGCTTATTATCTTTTAAACTTTACCTTTAAACTTTTCAATTAACTTTTTACCTTTTTTCTTGAGTTTTTGTTTTTAAAACTTAATTTAAAGTAAGTAATATATCATTCAACGGCTCATCTAATTCGTCAAAATAAGATAAACAGCCATGTAGCATTCTCTCTAATTCTTGGATTCAAACAGACCTAGATGAACTAGAATAGTTTGCACATCAGCAAACTCTTATTCTAGATGACCTTTGACCTTATTAAAAATGGCAGAGTCCATTAAAGCTGCTAGCTTTTGTGGCACATTTAAGCATCGCCCATTCATGAATCCTTAGCCTGAGCACTGCAAAAAAATCAAAATCTAGATAAGTAATTTTTTCTTAAAATTAGTGCATTTGTTCTTGAATTGAGGAGATAAAAGAGAAATTTTGCCAATGGAACAAGACAATTTACATTTAAAATAAGAAAACACGATTGCATTCTCTTATTTCAAGTGCATTTTATCTAATTATCTTATTTTAAGATTAAAAATACTCATTCTATTGGCAAACTATTTGATTTACCTACTCAAATTAAGGGTATATACACTTAATTTCAGACATTTTTACTTATTTATAGATCATTTTTCCAGTGAGGGTGCCCCGATCGAAACGCTAATGTTAGGCTGATTTATTAATTTCGACGTTTGTTTGGGTTCATGATCCTGTTGGAAAGCCCAGGCTGTCCAGGTATCAACTATCTTACTGGAAGTGTTAACCTCAGAGGAGAGAACAATGGTTAGTTAGCCTAAAGAAACCCAGGAACTAAACGGGA